GAGGCAATATGGAAATAATACACTAAATTCTTGGGGTACATCATCTTATTGATGGCTTACCAGCCCATGGAATAGAAGAAATACCAAATTGAGAGGATCACTGGAGACCATCCAGCCAGTGTTTCTCAAACTGGGATTTGGAGACCCCAAGGAAGTCACAGTCCATTTTGGGGGGTTCTAGGGCCCATCCAGGAGAACTTTTGTTTTATCTTTCCATTTTGAACCTTCATGATTTCAGTATCCACATTTGCATTTATGTTTACACTCGTATCGAGATCTAGTGAACTCTTAAAAGTCATAGCATTTCACTTTCAATGTAGTTCCTTAAACTGGGGCGTGGGGATCTCTGAGCTTGTTCAGATTGCTGGGATTGGTTTCCCACCCGGGTCTGGGCTCAGTACTGGAGACAGAACATTGAGTAAGACCCCTCGTTCTCTGCCTTCATAACACTTACATTCTAATTGGGGAGAGGAGTTAATGAGATGTGTAAAATAATTGCAAGTTGTGGTAATGCTATAAAGGAAACAGTAATCACTGTTTTTAAAGAGGATCTTTTCAGAGAGGGTGGGAATGATGGGTCTTTGTGAAGAGGTGAAATTTAAGCTGAAACCTAAAGGGTAGGGAGAAGCCCCATGTGCAAGGTGCCAGCATCCAGGCAGAGGGTACAGCGTGAGCAGGGGCCCAAGGAGGTAGTGAAGGTGGTGTGTCCAGGACTGGTAAGCCCCTTGAAAGATGAAGTATTGAGAACCCTGAAGTTAGACTTTGCTCCTGCCAGAAGGAGGTCCTTCATACCTATCTGCTTTTCTGTTGGAGTTGAGGCCATCCTGCCCAAGCCACCTCCATTTCTTACCTCAACCACTGCCACACCTCCTGCGTGGTCTCCCAGATGCTTGCTCTCTTGCTCTTACCAGTCCATTCTGCTCAGAGGAGTTTGAGTGGTCTTGTTTTTCTTAGGCTAAAGAGCCATATCCCTAACATATCCAGCAAAGCCCTGATGCTACTGTCTAGTCCTACTCTGGTACCATTTCCTCCCATTCCTGCCTACTGCAGCCAGTCGGCTTCTCTTTCTTCCTCAAGCATCCCAAGCTCCATCCCACCACAGGGCCTTTGCACACGTTGCTCCCTTTTCCTGGAAGGCTCTTGTTCCTACACTCACCCACAGCCTGTGCCTGTCAAATACCTACTCACTCTTCAGATCTCAATTGCAATGTTACTTCCACAGACACCTTCTCTGTGCCTCAGACTAGGTTAAGTCCCTTTTATACATTCTATCAGCACTCTACTTCTCCATGACACTGAATCACATTTTTAATTATATGGGTTTTTTTTCACTTTTGCTTTTGCTTAAAATTTGTTTCCCCCACTAGATTGTAAGTTTATCAAGCTAAGAGACCACATCCGTGTGACATGTATCCTCTGACACAAAGGAAATGCTTAGTCAGTATTAGGTGAATAAATAAACAAACAAGCAAACCACCCTGTCCAAGGTCAACTCAACTCATGTCAATTGATCTGTGAGTGCTTGCCACTGGGTGTCACTGTGCTAGTGAGCACAACAGTGTCCTGCTGTCACTTGGCTCTTCCATGATCTCATCCAATACCAAATTTGATACTCTTTCTAGCATGTCGGTGTTCATTGTACTGATATTCTGATTATAAACAAGAATGCAAACATGGACATTGAAATCAAGAAGGTTCAAGATGGAAAGATAAAATGAAAATTCTCCTGAATAAGCCCTAGAACCCCCACAAATGGTCTGTGACTTCCTTGGGGTCTCAGTGGCCTTTGGACAGTGGCTTGCAGAATTTTTTTCATAATAAACCATAGTAAAAAATACATTTAATATCAAGATCCTGTACACATGCATGTACAGACACAAATATATATATATATCTGTGTGTGTATATGTGCTGTATATAATATATGTGTGATATATACTGAAATAAAAAGTTCAAAAAGCAATACTATGTGCAATATGCTGTGATATATTTTATCTATTCTATTTTATATTTTAATTATGTTATTCCTATATTCTTCCTATCTGCAGTGCAACCTTAAGTACTTGGCATAGTAGTAGATACTCAATAACATAAACAGAAAAAAAAAAAATCAAATATACCCAGGCACATGATCCTCTAATGCAATGGTCTGTAAACATTCTGATTATGTACATTTTTGATCAGCTTTTAAAAGGAACACACAGTCTATACTAACATTCTTGTACTACCATACTAACATGTTCTGTGTATTATGAAAATACACAAAATAAATACTAAAAATTATTAGATCAAGGTAAAGAAAAGAGTTTTTATTAAAATAATTTTTATTTTATTCTTTGGAGGTCACAAAACATTTTACTGACACTTATTTAGTATATAGTTTTTGTTTTAAAATCTCAATGTCACACTTTACACTTCGGGGGCCAAAGGTTCAGTTTAGATTTGGCATATGGTCTTAAGGAGTGCCTTGAATGAAACGTGACTCAGAAGGAGGTGCCGATTCAATAGATGTGCATCGTTGTCGTGCCAGGTACATCAGGACATTCATTTTTTTAATACCACCATTAACAAAGCAGTCATTTTTATTGAAATTACACTTTTAAATCTCCATCCTCCCTGAGGCGTATCAATTATTCTTATAAAGCAATCAGAAAGTATTGTATTTCTATATTTTATGAAATGAGCTCAAAACCCATTTAAATTGTTGATTTGGAATATTTTTACACAGATTAGAAAATTCCAGTTCCATGGTTTTTAATGTATGTATGTGAGCTCAATGTTCACGTATAAATAATGTAAATTATAAATAATATATTCAGAGCACTTTAAATGAAAAATCATATAATGGCGAAAACACTCCCAATTATCCATCTTTAAGATGCTCCCTTTTCTTTTGAAAAATCATTTCTGAGGAGAGAAAGGGGTGAACAGGCAGAACACAGAGGATTTTTAAGGCAGTGAAACCATTCTGTATGATACTATAATGTGGATGCATATCATTATACATTTGTCCAAACCCATGGTATATACAACACCAAGAGAGAACCCTAATGCAAACTATGGACTTTGAATGATAATAATGTGTCAGTGTAGGTCCGTCAGTGGTAACAAATGTGTTACTGTGGTGTGAGATGGTAGGGGAGGTTGTATATCTGCAGAGAAAGAGAGTATACAGGAAATCTTTGTACTTTTTACTCAATTTTGCTGTGAGCAAAAACTGCTCATAGTCTATTAAAATCATTTTTTAGAAAAAGATCTTTTTCATTCATTGTTTAAAACATCAGTTTTAGCTTAAGGACAGATTCAGTGTGTCTAATACCCATAAGGCAGTAGAGTCTAGTGGTTAAGAGTAAACCCTCTCGCCAGACCCCAGTGCTGCCAATTGTCCTGTGTGACCTTGGACAGATTACTTAACTTCTCTGTGCCTTGGTTTCCCATCTTTAAAATGGGAATTAATAATAATTTCTGTCTCAAAAGGTTGCCTTGAGTTAATTATAAGCTAATATATGCAAAGTACATACTGCATAATGAATTCTCATTAAGTGCACCTATCCTAATTGATTTAAAGATTTTTTGCTAGATAGCATGTTTCTTAAATTCACTTATCATTATAGAAAAGGTCAACAAAATTTGGAACCTTTGCCTTTTTGTGAAAAGAAGAGTGGGTAATTTGTTTTTCAATTTGACATCTCTTTTACATGTTTTCTACAAGTTAACCAGGAAACTCTGCTCGGTGCAAAAGATGTTCACAGTCACAGCCCATCTCATGTTAAAGTATTGTAGAGAGTCTAAAATGATTACAAGTGCATCATCCCAAAACCCACCAAGCTGGACTCAAGCCTTCTCCAACCCCCCCCCCCATTGCAAAATCCTGTATTTCCATGCACCATTTGTGACATGTGGCCATCTGAATGCAGAACAAGCAAGGGCACCAGTTCCATCTCTTTATTAAATAACTGTTTTAGTCCGTTTTGTGTTGCTACAACAGAAATACCTAAGACTGGGTAATTTATAAGGAAAAGAGGTTTATTTGGCTTATGATTCTGGAACAGCTGCATCTGGCACAAGCCTCAAGCTGCTTCTACTCAGGCAGAAAGCGGCAGGCAGCCAGCGGGTACAAGCAGATCACATGGCGAGAGGAAGCAAGAGACAGAGAGAGAAGGTGCCAGGGTCTTTTAAACAACCAGCTCTCATGGAACTAATAGAGTGAGAACTCACTCACTACCCACATCCCCTAGGGAGAGCATTAATCCATTCATGAAGGATCCACCCCCATGACTCAAACGGCTCCCAACACTGCCACTTGGAGATCAGATTTCCACATGAGTTCTGTGATGTCAATACATCCAAACTCGACACATCCAAACTCCATCAATAACCATTTTTCCTTTTTGAAAAAAATTAAAAATAACCACAAGTAGAAGTTATTTTTCTTGTCATACTGCAGTCACTCACCACATTTTGGAGACCACGGCCTAACAAAGGGGAGATTAAACTAAAATGCTAAAGCTTCACCTTACCCTAGAGTTCATAGGAGATCACCATCTTTTGTTTCCATTTTCACCTAGTTTTACAGCAAATTTGTAAGGGGAAGGGGGTGGAGGAGTATGGTTATTTTTGAAAGCACACCGCGGGGCGTGCGCAGCAGCGAGGCGTGGGGTGACGGTTCGCGCATGCGCGAGCGCATGCGCGCACGCGGCGCAGGGAGGAGGCCGCTGTCCGCCGCCGCTGCCTTTGCCGCGTGGGCTCCTGAGGGACGCCCTGGCCTCCGAGCCAGAGCATCCGTGTTACTGCTGGGAAAGACGAAAAAGGCAGAAAGATCCCAGAACGTCTGATGGGCAGCCGAAGATCGTGTGCTTCTGATACGGTGACAGTCGTAGACGACAGCGTCAGTTGGCCAGAAAAGCTGTAGCTGGCCTGAGAAGTGCTGGGAGAAAGAGGAGACGCAGCAGGTGGCCCGGTGTTGACTCTGTCTTTAAAAAAACCTCCCCGTTGAAAAAATGAAAATGATGAAAACTCGATAAGCCGGTGAAGAAAAGAATGAAGAAATAAGGGGAGAAAGTGACATTGAAGAAAAGGCTGAAGTGAGAGAAGAACCAGAGCTGCAAACAAAAAGGGACATGGAAGAAAGAACAGTCACTATAGAAATCCCTGAAGTTCTGAAGAAGCAGCTTGAGGATGATTGTTACTACGTTAACAGGAGGAAACGGTTAGTGAGACTTCCGTGCCAGACCAACGTCATCACTATTTTGCAATCCTACGTGAAGCACTTTGCTGTCAGTGCGGCCTTTTCAGCCAGCGAGAGTCCTCGTCCCCACCACGCTACGATGCACCCGCACGTGACCGTGCGTCACATCCCAGCAGAGAAGAACATTGACCTTTGTAAGGAGATGGTGGATGGATTAAGAATAACCTTCGACTACACTCTCCCGTTGGTTTTGCTCTATCCACATGAACAAGCTCAGTATAGAAAGGTGACTTCGTCTGAATTTGTTCTTCCAGTTAAGGAGAGTGCCACCACTCCTAACAGGAGCCAGGAGGAGCTCCCTCCCAGCCAGCCTTTGTTGAAGCCGTCCACCCCCAAAAGGCGCCAGGCCGAGCCGGCAGCGCTGCCGTCCCTGAGGCGGCCCACGCGCCACACGGCCAACTGCGACAGGCTGCCGGAAAGCAGCGCGTGGCCTCAGCCCGAGCGCCCTCTGCAGGACACGTCGGCTGGCGTGCCCCAGCCGTTCCTGCGCCTGGAAAAGAAGACGCCTGCGCACAGCGCATCGTCTCTGCCTGCTCCTCTGACTCCGGACAAGGGAGGGAGTGCTGTGTTCGCCGGCTTTGAAGGGAGAAGAACTAACGAAATGAACGAAGTCCTCTCCTGGAAGCTCGTGCCCGACAGTTACCCCGCAGGGGACCAGCCGCTTCCGCCGTCTTATATTTATGGGGCACAACATTTGCTGCGATTGTTTGTAAAACTTCCAGATATCCTTGGAAAGATGTCCTTTTCTGAGAAGAATCTGAAGGCTTTGCTGAAGCACTTTGATCTCTTTCTGAGGTTTTTAGCAGAATACCACGATGACTTCTTCCCAGAATCGGCTTATGTCGCCGCCTGCGAGGCGCATGACAGCACCAAGAACCCCAGGGCAGTTTATTAAAGCGTTGGACATTCTTTTAAGAGCAGCTGCACCGCTTCGCTTTGCTCTCTGGGTCCCAGAAGAACTAAGGAGACTCTGGGCCTGCTCTACACAGCGCAAATGCGACGCCCACCCTGGCTGCTCTGGCAGAGGCGACCTTGTTACTTGAGTTGCCCACATACTATAGTTATTTCTGTTAAGAATTACTTCCTAAGTTCCTGAAAATGCTCTGACATGACACCTGCCACTGCACAGGCCATCTGTGATGGCAGGAAAAGAGCAGCTGTGTTTGCAGTGAAACATTCCTGAAAGTGTCCGTAGGTCAGGCTGTTCCAGTACATGATGCCGTTAGTTATTAGTGAGAACTACGTTGTTTAGTTATTTGTTAGCATTAAACAAAGTTGTTTGCAAACTCTTTTCATGTTTGTAATGAGCCTGAGCAACTCTGTCCAATGAATCTTAGTTTATACTTGGAGACTGTGAAGTAGCCTCAAAGCATTTTAGAGGGAATCGATATTGATGGCAGAAGAAGACTTGCAGCTATACAGTTGCCTGTCACAGTTTCCTCTCTGAAAAGTTATTTTTGGTGATCTAAATAAAGCATTGTCTGTCTCGTTTGAGATTTTACAGCTATACTTTTGTTGTATAATGTTATGGTTCCCTTTCTGTAAAACGTTGTTGTTGGTTATCCAAATAAAGCATTGCCTGTCTTGTTTGAAAGAATAGATTAATTAAAATCACACTACAGTATTGATAAGAAAGAAAATGTGAACCTTAAAGCTTAAAGATAAGGAAACGTTGGAATAGCTAGCCTGCCTAAGGTTTTTAGTTCTTTTTGTTTTATTTTGTTTTTCTTTTTACCCAACAGTGGGATCTTTCTGTGCTTGCACGAGTTCTAACAATAACACCTACTGGTGTTTGCGTACAGTTAATGAGACGCATAATTTTCTTTTCTGCGAGTTTGCTACTGGCTTTTTGGAGTATTTTGATATGAATACAGATCCTTATCAGGTAAGACAATATGTTTTTATTTTATGAAGGTCATTGAAAATAGGATAGTGAGAACGTGAGCTTAAATATATTGTCCTGTTCTCCTCATCCCATAGCTCACAAATACCGTGCACACGGTAGAACGGGGCATTTTGAATCAGCTACATGTACAACTGATGGAGCTCAGAAGCTGTCAAGGGTATAAGCAGTGCAACCCAAGACCTAAGGGCCTGGAAGTTGGTAAGGAAAAAAATATCTTTTTTTATATATTACCTGGAAAATTCTTTGTGCTACCAAGTTTTCTACCTTTGAAATACTTAGATGCGTAGAAACATATAGTTTGGGATACTTACGGGGTGATATTCCAGGCAATTCCAAACATAATTTGATCTCTAAGTTTAGGTCTGGGTGCACTAATGAGAAACTTAATCCACCAAAAGATTTGGTGAGCCTTTCCTTCCAGTCTCTCCCACAGTTCCGTTCTATTGTAAACCTCGATTCCTGGTAGAAGCCTCTCATGGAAGATGAGCTGACAGCTTTGGGGATTTATTTGTTGTTGCTGTCCACAGTGATAAGATACACTCTAAATTAACCAGGATATTCTCTTTTTTTAAGAGAACTTAGATGGAAACATGCAATGTCCTATTTCTACCCGTCACAGTTAGAGCTCCCCCAATTGGATCCCCAGTTGGATTCATGACACAGTGAATTAGAGTCCTTGTGCCTATATTTCCTACCTGAAACTAGAGATATTTGAGCAGTTCATTAACATGGGATCTCTAAGTATAAGAGGGTCTGCAAGGAATAAGCCAGATTTTCCTTCTCTGCTCGGCAGTGTTAAACTAACTTATTTCTCCTTCGGCTCATGAGGACGCAGCTCTTTTCAGTGTTGGCTCCAGCTCTTTCCTGATTGTCTCCTAATTTATACAGAAATGTAAATGTCAGCTGTCCATAAGAGGAAGGAGAAAGAACTGGAGCTGGCAAGAACATAGACATGGGCACGGCATGCCAACCCCAAAAGGGTGAGGAGCTGGACCCACAGGCTTTTGGAGCTGGGGCCATTTGTAGGAACCTTTTGTTATGCAGCTGGGTTTTCCCAGGGTCTTTAGTAGCCTGTGTCTCAGCGGGTACTACGCAAAGCCAATATCACCAGCAATAAAAGTGGGCAGCTCTCTGGTCATGTGACTTGGAGGGGCAGGGGTTCCCATCCCAAAATGATTAACATCACTGCCTATCATTTCCACCATTGTAGAGTCCTAAAGGCTTTTGAGGTATGGGAGCCCCATAAGAAAATACCAGTCCTGTGAGAGAGGCCAACTGTCATTCTCAATCAACACTTATCAATTAACACTTAGTGGAACTAGCTGCAGGCCAAGAGAGGACTGGACTTGCAAAATAGGTCTTTTGGTCATTGACCCCTCTCAGCTTTTCAAATATCTTGCTTCAAATATCTGTTGACCTTTTTCCTCAAATCTTATAAAAAAAGAAAGAAAGAAAAAAAAAAAGAGCTCACAGAGGCTTGGAATCTAAACCAACTATTAGAGGCACTAGAAATATTACACCGGATATTTCTCCGCACAGAACGTAGCACTTACTGGTGATGATGTAACAGCTCTACTTAGTGAAATCTGAGTCTCTTGGAGGTGCAATCACACACCAGGTGGAGCCAGTTATGCTGTTACGCTTCAAGTCGTCTTCTCCACCTTCTAGACTATTCCTAATGAAAATTAGTATTGGCCTGTTTCTTTTCAAGTGTTTTTAACCAAAATTCAACATTTACTGAGAATTAAATAGACTTCTGGAAGTACTTTCCTTGCTGCTTTTAAGTGGGCTCTCCACCCTTTCTCACTCCTGCCCATTTTTTCATGTGAACTCATGTATTTTTTATTTTAGACCTTTTTATTTATAGCTTACAATCCTCATTTTGAACCTGTCTAATAGAAAATCTCTGTTGGACTTTAGCATGTCTGTATTTAACACAATATGTTTCTTTCTAGGGTTTAGATGTGATGCATGGAAAACTACATAGTGAGTGGTTGTATGAGTTCTAAAGCTAACATAAATTACTCTTATTTTCCTATATCAGGAAATAAAGATGGAGGAAGCTATGACCTACACAGGTATTCACACTTTTTTATTCTCCTCGGCAGCTTCTTTCCCAATAATTGCATGATCCAGTCATTTCAACTAATTTCTATTTCTTACCATGTTGCACGGACCATAGCTTGGGGTGCATGCTTGTTCTAACAGCATTCTCTGCCATGTTGTCACTGGTTACAGATCTGTCGTTTTGATTTAAACCAGCTCACTGTCCAACACGATGTCTCTCAGAGCATTACTCACTCCCATGCTTGTTTGCTTGTTGGGTGATGCTTTTAAGCATGGAATGATGTGAAAGGAGAAGCCAGAATGGCCTGTGGGAGCCCCGGGACAGGGTGGGAGATTTGTTTTCTTTCTGGTGCTTACATGTTGATTTGGTGGGGAGGCTTCATGGAAAGGAGTTAGAGGTTTTTGCTAAATTCTAATTTCGAAGGCACAAAAAGACGAAGGAGAATTTTAAGAGCATTCTAAAGCCAAAGTTGGAAGAAACAGAAGGAGCTTTCATGTTAGTGGTCATTAGTAAACTTTGGTGGTAAGAAGCAGCGGCCATAGGTGTGATTCAGAGGTGCATGAAGAGAAGATGCTGGGGGTTGGGAGCAGGCTCTCTGGACCCAAGGCACTCAGAAAGGTCTCGACATAGCACCAAGACAGTAGTGACTGACACACAAAACTTTAGAAACAACCCTCACCCTGTCATCTTATCCCCTTCAACCCCCACCCATCTCTCCTACCTCACTGTGCTCTGGAGGGGCGACCCAGACACCTGGTGGCCATGTCACTTGGTCACCCTGCAATGTCAGCCATTGCTACTTTTCTACTCCAAGTGGAGACCTCAGGCAGGTCTATCAGAAACATGCCATGTGGGACAGGTAAGGACTGTCCTTACCACCTCAGCTGGATATGTCAACGTCTTAGTTAATAAATCTGCTTGGGAGAGAAACTCGACCAAAAAAACATGGACTTCATTGGTGTCAGCCACAATACTGTCTTCTCAGAGAAGCAAAAGAGTATCGCCATCCCGGGGCACCCCCTCCCGTCTCCTGAGCTATGGCCTTATGTTCCTCTTTTAGAGGGCAGCTCACTGGTCCAACCAGATGCTAAATGGCAATAGGAAAGGCAATAGGAAAGATATAAACAAACAGACAAAACAAAGACAGCTGGACTTTTAAGGACGTTTTATAGCCATGTCTAGATCTCTTCTTTTTCTCTTCTCTCTCACCTTTCTTCGTTCCTTTCCTCCATCTGCCCCACAGCACCTGTGTCACCCCCAGCACACATAACAGAGCAGAAGGAGCCACTCCTAAGCTTGTCTCCCCTGGAGTATGGGCTACAGAGGTGACATCCAATACACCAGGGCTATTTTGCCTGCTTCCCATGGGTCTCATTAAGACATTTCCAGAGTGGGACATTATAAATGGACCTAACACTGAATATTGGCTTTATGGATATCTTATGATGCACTCAGCTAAGGGATTTTCAATCTAGTGTCCTTTTATTCCTGTCATGAAAGAGGTAAAAAGGTATTAATGGGTTATTTAAGACCCTGGTCAGAGCTGAATCAGAGAGTATTCTCCATGAAGTCATCTCTGGACAAGTTTGAAATGAAGAATGTTTAACTGCACTCGGGGTGTAATTAAGTTGCAAGCATCTGAGACTCTCCCCTTTCCTGATTCCGGCCACCACCACTCAAAGGGCCAAAGAATCAATTGTTTCTGAGGTCATTTGACACAGCCTTGATGACTTTAATGGTTGAAAGCGTGTATGCAGGGGCGACATGACTGTTGCTTTTTTCCTTCTTCTAAGATCCTTAACACAGGGCAAATCTAAATGTACTTTATAACTCAAAATAACTGGTATTTCCAGCCTTGACCATTCGTAATCCATAAGGCAGGACATCTTTCCGTTGATATCCATGTTGCAGACAGGAAACCTTGATGCATGTTACTAGGAGAGCATTTGCCCAGTCACACCTGGAAACTCACTGGGCAGTTAAATGCAGTGTTTGATGTCGCCTTACATGCGCATTGTGTCTTGTTGGATTAAACAGGACAGATGAAAACAAGCCACTGGTAGAACTGCCTGTAAAACGGCCACCTCCAGCTGGTGTTCACCAGTGCAAAGCCCTGCAGGGATGGATAGCACAACTTACAGGGCTTCAGAGGCCTTAATTGTTTAAGATTTTGGTAGTTTTAGAAAACTAATTAAAATGTACTTTTAATCATGAAAGAGTACAAAAGACTTTGAGAGGAATGATAACCAAACCTGAAGAATTTGAAATTTGAAAATTCAACAGAGTATTTTAGAGAATTTATCTTGTACAAGATGGACTTTTTCAACTGCCTTCTTTTTTGTGAATTTTCAAAAATTAATCTTCAGATTTGTTTAGAAGGTCCTCAAAAAGCAATCTGTCCCCTATTCAGTTTCTTGTTTTTCTTGTCCCCTGTGGTATGTGCATCAGCCAGGGACAGCTGAGATGTTTTGCTTACTCACACTGCTCATTTTCCAGTTAGGACAAGCTCAGAGTAAGGGCACAGCTCAGAAAG